ATTTAGTCTTGTATGTGTACTGAAATTCAGGATTGCAATGGGAACATTTACTCACCCATATGTACTCATCTATATGTGGTTGTAAGGGTTGATTCACAGCTCTTTGCCTCGCCTCTTCGCTAGCCGCTAGTAGGTCACTCTCTCTCCCCTCCTAGAATTTTATCATACCTCTTCTTAAGGCTATGTATGGAATTTGCCTCCACTATTTCACTTCCTGACAACTTTAAGGCTGAAGAAATACTTCCGAACATCCCTATGACTCTTCTGAGTTATTAATTTCTAGTTGTTCCGCCACGTTCCTGTGTCCCATCTCTGAAATATTGTAACCTTGTCCACTTCGTCAGTTCCTCTCATTATTTTATATGTCGTTATCATGTCCCCCACCAATCTCTCCTGTCCTCCAGTGTCATCAGGATGAGTTGCTTTAACCTCTTCTCATAGAACATACCCCTTAGTTCCGGGGTTAGCCTTGTTGCAAACTTTTGTATTTTCTCCAATTATGTGTCTGACCAGGTGTGGGTTCCATACCGGCGCTGCATACTCCAATATGGGCCTGACCTACATGGCGTACAGAGTCGTAAATTAATAATTACTTAGATGCTGAAACGCTGATCTTAGGTTTCCTATGCGCCAATACGCTGAAGTGGTTATTTGGTTAATATACGCCTCAGGAGATGTGCTCGGTATCATGCTCACCCCAAGATCCTTTTCCTCGAGTGAGGTTTGCAATGTATGACCCCTGATCATGTACTAGATCTGCGGTCTTTTTTGTCCTTCCCCAAGCTTCATGACTTAAGGTGTCCTGTAGCTCGATCGCCAGCACACTCAGCTTACACACTGAGGTCCCGAGTTCGAATCTCCGGTACGTCTGGAAAACATAAAGGACGTGTTTCCATAAGACACCTGCTGTCCCTGTTCACTCATACGTATAAAATGGGTACCTGGGTGTTAGTCGATTGGTGTGAGTTGCATCCTGGGAGAAAACTGGCCTAATTTGCCTGAAATGCTTAGCATAACAAGCGGCTTTCTATATAGTAGTATGTCATTGATATCAGCTAGGCCTGTATACCTTGTACATGTACTTGTAGAAATAAATATATTATTATTATTATTTGCATTTGCAGGGGTTAACTCCAGGAGCAATCTGTCGGACCATTCTTACAGCCTGTCCAGATCCTTTCGTAGTCATACTTGATCCTCGTCTGCTCGTGTTCTCATCAGTTTCACACTGTCTGCGAACAGGGACACCTCTGAGTCTATCCCTTCCGTCATGCCATTCATATATACAAGAAAGAGCACCAGACACATGTCTGACCCTTGTGGAACCCCACTCGACACATGCGCCCACTCTGACACCCTATCACTTACCAGGTATTCCCTGATCCACTGCAATAATTTCCCTGCTATTCCTGCCTGCCCCTCTAGCTTTTCAACCAGTCTCTTGTGTGGTACTGTGTCGAAAGCCTTTTTACAGTCCAAGAAGATGCAGTCTACTCATTCTACTCTTTCTTGCCGTAGAACTCTAGCAGGTTTGTGACGCAGGATTTCCTATTCCTGGAACACTGCTAGCTTTCATGTATGAGGCCGTTTCTTTCTAGGTGCTCAACCACTCTTCTCCTCATAATCTTCTCCATGAATTAACATACTATACATGACAGCGACACTGGTCTGTAGTTTATTGCTGCTTGTCTGTCTCCGTTCTTAAAACCTGGGACCACATTTGCTGTCTTCCACACCTCAAGCAGTTGTCATGTTCCGATATTTTTATTGAAGATTGTTGTTAGTGGTACACACAGTGTTTCTGCTTCCTCTCTCAGGACCCATAGAGAGATGTTGTCTGGGCCCACCTCCTTCGAGGTAATTAGTTTACATAGCAATTTCTTCATCTCGTCCTCAGTTGCATGTAGTGTGTGCAGCACTTGTTGGTGTCCCTACCATCCTGGTTTGCTGAGAGCCTTTTTCTCTCTATATGAATAACTCCCTAAATCTCTTGCTGAGCTCTTCACATACTTTCTGGTCATTTATTGTGGTTTCCCCTTCTTCCTTCCTCACCCTGATTTCCTGTTTTTTGACTGTTTTTTTTTCTACTGATGTGGGTGTATAACAGCTTTGGGTTAGATTTGGTTTTCAGATGTCATTCTCATACTACCGCTGGGCCTCCTTCCTTATCCACGCATATTTGTTTCTGGATCTTTGGCTCACCTTCCTATTTTTCTGGGTCCTTTGTCTTCTATACTTTTTCCATGTTTACTATGTATTCGAAACTCAGGACCACTAGCACCGAGGGGCCTTTCATATGTAATATCCCCAGTGTTGGAACAGCTCAAGGTGAATAAGGTATCCAGCCATGCTTTTTTTTTCTCGCTTAGTTGTATTTCTAACATGTTGGTGCATAAAGTACCACCTTCTACATTTAGACCTCCACGTTTCTGGTCCACTATGTGGCTCCAGGTTTTCCAAGTCAATTTTCTTGTGGTTGAAATCCCCCATATGGCCAGCCGGGCTGTGGCTCGTACGTTGGATTGCGTGCAGCCAGCAGTAATAGCCTAGTTGATCAGGCTCTGATCCACCAGGAGGCCTGGTCACAGACCGGGCCGCGGGGGCGTTGACCCCCGGAACTCTCTCCAGGTAAATTCCATGTAATAGCATCATCTTGCGTATCAGGATTAAGGTACACCTTGAGCCTAACTGCTTAAATATAATTACTGTAGACAATGAACAACCCGTCGTCTCGTAGCCGGAGACTAAAGTAAACTAACTACATGTATAGGACCTGCTAGGTGTATGAGTCACAAGTCCAAGTAATTATAAAGGTGAGAACCCTAAATCATTCACCTAGCTTTCACTGACCCAAATAAATATCTTTCTACGCCAGAATACACGAGATGACTGGCGCGCTAGGTTAATTGTTTCATATCCATGTATGGTCTAGAGCAGTGATTCCCAAAGTGGGCAGTACCGCTTCCCTGGGGGGGTGGAAGGATCTAAGGTGGGAGAATTGAAGGAAAAAAGGGCGGTAGGGGGGTGGCACGGTGGCATCAGAACCAAGGGAGCGTTTCTTTTACAAAATCTATATGACAAAAATCTAAGTCACGAACACTTAAGTAAGAAATGTTTTACAAAAAATCATAGAGTTATACACGAAACAATAGTTTTATTACATTATGTGGTCCGAAGTCGTGTTAAAAGTCCGAACGTTTGCTCCCCACATCATGTTTAGTAGAGCGAGACTTCAGTGTAGTCGCCAAGCTTCTTTGCAAGCAAAGAAACAGACTGAAAATTACTGAACGCTGGGATCCAAGACTTCCATTTAGTGCCTTCAAGGCTGATGTTGAGAATCTAATGTTCCTGCACATCCATCTCATTAAAATTGTAAAGATAATCCACTTACAGATGAGAAATAAGTTTACCCTTTCATATTGTTAAACAAATTGGTTTATTATGATAATTTTTTTGTGAAATAAATACGCTTGTTTATAGTGTTAGATTAGTTGTTGTTTTGATTTTGCAGTAAAACTAATACCAAGAAAGAGGTGTGTTATGTGTGTGTGTGTGTGTGTGTGTGTGTGTGTGTGTGTGTGTGTGTGTGTGTGTGTGTGTGTGTGTGTGTGTGTGTGTGGAGGGAGGGAAGGGGGCGCTAGGTACGTGGCCTGGGAGCCAATAGGGCGGCAGCCTGAAGAAGTTTCAGAACCATTGGTCTAGAACAAGGGCTCTTAACCAGGGGTATCCATACCCTCGGGGTAAGGCTCTGTTCCTAGCTATCCATATATAATGTAAAACCAAGCTATTGAAAACTTCTGAAGTCATACTGGTACCTAACAGGACTGGTGATGTGATAAATGGACTGGTGATGATGATGATGATCTCGACAGTCTGGTGACAGGAGATAGGAGGACATATTGGGCAATTCATTGGAGTGCCTCAAGAAATCGTAATGACACGATTGCAAATAAACCATACCCCCGGCCGGGATTGAACCCGCGGTCATAGAGTCTCAAAACTCCAGCCCGTCGCGTTAGCCACTAAACCAGCTAGCCACAATAAGATTCATCCAACTAGGTATATTTCTACACTATAGGAAAGTTAGCACAGGCACCTCTGTGACCACAAATGCAAGTTTTTACAGACGAATCTCCAGCTAGCGTGGCCGTGACGAACTCTAGCTCAAGTCCCTTCACTGCCGTCAACATGACTCAAGAAATCGTAATGACACGATTGCAAATAAACCATTGCAAATAATTCATTGGAGGTCTGTAATCATAAAAAAAGTTAAGTACCCCTGGTCTACAGAAAAGAAATTTTGCCTCACCCATCTGCCACAACGTCTGCTACACTCCAACCAGATCCTCACTGAATATCTACCTCAGTATATCAACATGAGAGACACGAATGGAGGAGACTTCGGGATGAGTACTTAACTACAAGTTGGCGAGTCACCTTTACACATAGGAAAAAAAAAAACGTTTTTTCATGTGGTGATCCAGCTTACCACCTCAACAAGAGTCTACCTCGAAAACGTTCCGAGAATCAACACACTTGCAGCCCAGTTCCAGACCAGTCCTTCCGTAGGATGGCCTCGTCAACTATGATCTTGGTGTTAGTCGCAGAAAATAAAACGTATGCTCCTCAGCACGGCTGATCAGGAAATGACTTGAGCTACTTATCATTTCCCTCTATAAGTCAGCCAGGTATCTGTTAGTAATCCTCTTATGTATTGAAATGACTTGATCCCTTGCTTTTCACTGGGAGTATCTTGCACCATCTTCGACGCCTCTTCCACAGCGTAAGATATGTTTGTGAAGATTTGGAACTAATCCCACTAGAAATTTCAAAATATAGATTATAACACTATGTAACACAATTTTTGTTAGTGGCAAGTAAGTGTTATTCCAACTACTTTTATTGCAAAACAATAGAAAAAGCCCATTATTCCTTTTAAACTTTGCTTTTGTGGCTTACAGGATGAATTTTTAACAAAAAATGGCTAAATTTCAATATTTTTTGCTAGTTTTGGATGTAAAACAAAAACATATAATAAAATGAATGAAATTTACATAAATAAAATATACTTTCTGAAATATATTTACAAAGTTATAAATGAGCAGTTTCTCTAGATTTGCGAGCATGCAACAAATCACTTTCCCGTTTAAGTCCCCAAATGTAGTCTCCCATCACGTTTTCATTAAAAGATCCCTAATATTTGGTGGAAACGCTCCCCTTGCTTGTCTGAGTATGCTCCCATATTCTCCTTGAAATTATCAAGATGAGCATTAAGGATATGGACCTTAAGGGACATCCTACAGCCCGTCTGACCATAGTTTTTACCAAGGTCTCAAAAAGTTCCACATAAATGTCAGCCTTGTTGTTGCCCAGAAGCACTGTGTTACAGCAACAAAACTCTCCCAGGCTTCCTTTTCCTTCTCTATGAGCTTCTTTGGAAATTCTGAGCACTCCATGATTTTCCTGACTTGTGGTCCAGCCTTCACCTATGCCTCTGATAGCTTGGGAAAGAAGTCTTGAAGATACTTAAGAGCTGTAACTGTTTCATTAGCCCTAGTTTGATGCGTAATGGAGAACCTTTTGTTTATGTCTTCCTATTGAGAACTCAGTCTTTTGAGGCCAATGCTTCCTCTGGTAATGTGTTACTCTGTCTCTACTATCCCATTGGCAGAGAAAACAGGGAAACTTGGTAAAATCTCCTTAGAGACCCATCAAAAAATGCCACCCTTTAGAAGTCTCCAATAACTTCCCAGCCATACTTATCATAGTTCAAAGCTTCCAGTAGAATGAGCCAAGGAAAGAGATGGATACTTGTTCCCATTGCGCAGAAGTACAGCTTTAACGCTTCTGGAGGAGCTATCAATGAAGAGTGCACACTCATCTGGATTGCATACAATTCCAATTGAATCAAACAGGTATGATACATCATTACAATAGCGCAACTTGTCTTCATTAGTGAAGAAGCTTGAGAAATGTTTGTGACGTTTTCTTTGGCTTGTCACTTGCACACTTTCAACCACCAAGTCCCACTCCTTGAGCCTTGAAATCAAAAGCTCAGCATTTGACTTTGTCAAACCAAAATCTCTGATAAGGTCATTGAGGTCTGTTTGGTTTGGGTAGTAAGGATTCTTCCCAACAGCTGCATGTGTGAGATCATAGTCTTGCTCACTGTGGTCTTTATTTTCTGAATTGCTGCTTTCTTCTTCTGACGGTTGACTTCTTTCTGAAGGTGTAGGTACAGGAAGATCAGCACTGTGTGGTACTGCTGCAATAGAAGAGGAAAGGTCTGGATAAGAAAGAGCAGGTGCATTTTTCCCAGTTCGGTGTTTGGAAGATCCACCAGGCTGTTGGTTGAGTGATCAGTGGATTCACGCCATATTCTAGAAACAGGAAAATTCATGGCTCTTTTTTCTCCTCTATACCATCCTGTAAAATAACAAAAGAATTAGTTTCTGTTACATACATTTCATTTAAAAGATATTCCTATTCAGTATTTTACCCTTCATATAACTAATGACTTTCTTACCTTTCAATGTTTTCTCACAATGTTCACAAGCAACATGAGGCGCCCAGGTCTTGTCTTGGTCCACAACTGGCATGCCAAAATATGCTTTGTAAGCTTCACACATTCTTTTAGATGCTGTTACAGAGAACTTCTTAACTAATTGAACACATATGTAGCAGAATGCATCTGGAGAATGGTTGCAGACTCCTGATGCCATTTCACTTCTGATGTGTCTTCTCAGGTAACCAGAGCTGAACTGAATGCTGGTTTGTGAGCCCCTGTTTTAATATTTGCCAAGCAAAACCCTAGAACATACGAGTTTTACATCAGTCTTTCTTGAAAGTGTTCCTGAAGTGCCTGAACACAAGAGCAAAGTTCTGGGATCAAAATTGCTTTCTTAAATTTTGTTTAGTTATAAAGAATAGGGAAATGATGCTTATTTCCCAGGAACACGACAAAAGTGAAATTTTGTTACATAGTGTAATGTAATCATTCTAGTTACGTTCGAATGACTACAGATCGAAGGACTTCAAACGTTCCCAATAATTTAGGTGCTTGACTTGGTTTATGCGAGCAGTGAAGGTTCTCTACAAGCATCCCTCTCCTTCTGCGTCTCTAGACCCGACTCACTAATAAATACACCTGGGTAATCGAGCAAGGAATTACATGCAATCTAATAAGAAACAGATCTCTTTGGCAACTGTCTGAAATGTAAACCGCAGGTGATTAGTTAGCGTTTTCTAAATAAGCAGTTGCTGCTGGTACCAACTCCAATCTTCTCACATTTCTTCGTCCAGGTTATTCATTTCACTTCCTGATCGCAATGAGGCTGAAGAAGTACTTCCTAAAATCTATGTGAGTTATCTGTCTAGCTCTATTTACACTATGATTTCTCTGCATTTCATAATATATATATATTATATATATATATATATATATATATATATAATATATATATATATATATATATTATATATATTATAATATATATATATGTCGTGCCGAATATGTAAAACTGGTCAATTAGCAAGAACTCATTTAAAATTAAGTCCTTTCTAAAATTTTCTCTTATACGTTTAAAGATATATTTTTTCATTAATGTTAATCTAAAAATTTATAATTTTGCACCAAAAGAATCTTAGAAAACTTACCTAACCTTATTATAACAAGAACAATTTATTTTAGCCTAACCCAACTAAATATATTTTAGATTTGTTTACAATAATTTAATACTAAAAAACGTAGTGAAATGTATTTTTTTCGTTAGGTTCAAAATGATTTTGGCGAAATTATTGCATACACAAATTTTCACTTGTCGTATATGGCAAGATGAACGTTACTATTTAAGCCAAGATCGCAAGTTCTGCCTATTCGGCACGACATATATATATATATATATATATATATATATATATATATATATATATATATATATATATATATATATATATATATATATTATATATATATATATATAATTTTTATTTTTGTTAACACATCGGTATTCTCCCACCAAGGCAGGGTGGCCCGTAAAAGAAAAACTTTCATCATCATTCACTCCATCACTGTCTTGCCAGAGGTGCGCTCCACTACAAAACTGCAACATTAACACCCCTCCTTCAGAGTGCAGACGCTGTACTTCCCATCTCCAGTAATCAATTTAAATTTGACCTCTGTTATACATAGCAGAATTTAGCTAAAAAATTACGCTAGTTTAAGTTTGGTTATTTGAAGTTTTCAAGGTATGGACCAAAAATAAAATATCTTTCATCATTGTCATGTCACTCCCTATGAATATAATAATGGTGAAAAAATATCAGTCACTAAGAATAATTTATGGAAAAGTCCAATTTTTAAGGAAGTTTGGCCTATTCGGTAAACTCGGCTTAATCGACAATATATAATACTCGATTCTCTTCCTTCACTTCATATTATTGCAGACCATGGAGCTAAATTCTTCCCCTGGCTGAGGGACTGACAACCTCAAATTGTTTCTCTAAGGTTGATGAGATAATTACGTCATCTTTATCTCTTCACTTCTGTTGCTCACAATCTTTGTTTTTGACTGAAGAAGCTTATGTTTCAACAATAAAGATACCCAACTGTTGCACATGTGTCTTACTTGTCAACTTACGTACGTATAGGCGAGTACACATAATTATACAAACACGCGTGCACACACACACACACACACACACACACACACACACACACACACACACACACACACACACACACACATACTAAACTATAGACCAGTGTCACTGACGTGTTTAGCAAGCAAAGTCATGGAGAAGATTATCAGGAGGAGAGTGGTGAAGCACCTGGAACGAAACAAGAGTGTAAATGCCAACCAACACAGATTCATGGAAGGCAAATCCTGTGTCACAAACCTTCTGGAGATTTATGAAAAAGTAACAGAAGTAAGACACGAGAGAGAGTGGTGGGTTGATTGCATTTTCTTGGACTGCAAGAAGGCCTTTGACACAGTTCCTCACCAGAGATTAGTGCAGAAGCTGGAGGATCAGGCACGTATAACAGGAAGGGCACTGCAATGGATCAGAGAATACCTGACAGGGAGGCAACAACGAGTCATGGTACGTTATGAGGTATCACAGTGGGCACCTGTGACGAGCGGGGTCCCACAAGGGTCGGTCCTAGGACCAGTGCTATTTTTGGTATATGTGAATGACATGATGGAAGGGATAGACTCAGAAGTGTCCCTGTTCGCAGACGATGTGAAGTTAATGAGGAGAATTAAATCAGATGAGGATCAGGTACGACTTCAAAGAGACCTGGACAGGCTGGACACCTGGTCCAGCAGTTGGCTTCTTGAATTTTACCCTGCCAAATGCAAAGTCATGAAGATCGGGGAAGGGCAAAGAAGACCGCAGACAGAGTATAGGCTAGGTGGACAAAAACTGCAAACCTCACTCAAGGAGAAAGATCTTGGGGTGACCATAACACCTAGCACGTCTCCGGAAGCACACATCAACCAGACAACTGCTGCAGCATATGGGTACCTAGCAAACCTGAGAATAGCGTTCCGATACCTTAGTAGGGAATCGTTCAAGACACTGTACACCGTGTACGTCAGGCCCATACTGGAGTACGCAACACCAGTTTGGAACCCACACTTGATCAAGCACGTCAAGAAATTAGAGAAAGTGCAAAGATTTGCGACAAGGTCAGTTCCAGAGCTAAGGGGAATGTCCTACGATGAAAACTTAAGGGAAACCGACCTGACGACACTGGAGGACATGAGGGTTAGGGGAGACATGATAAAGACATACAAAATACTTCGTAGAATAGACAAGGTGGACAGAGACAGGATGTTCCAGAGAGGAGACACAGAAACAAGGGGTCACACTTGGAAGTTGAAGACTCAGATGAGTCAAAGGGATGTTAGGAAGTATTTCTTCGGTCATAGAGTAGTCAGGAAGTGGAATAGTCTAGCAAGTGAGGTAGTGGAGACAGGAACCATACATAGCTTTAAGACGAGGTATGATGAAGCTCATGAAACAGAGAAAGAGAAAGGACCTAGTAGCATTCAGTAGAGAGGCAGGGCCAGGAGCTGAGTTTCGACCCCTGGAACCACAATTAGGTGAGTACACACAGGATAAGTGTTTATCCTGTGTGTACTCACAGGTAAACAACTGGTAAACAACTTAGGAACACAGGCGTAGTCTGGTGGCCTGCACACCTGGTTGTAGCACGATAACTAAGGTAAAAAAGTTGGTAGAATTACCGACAATATGTAAAGTAAAAGGACACAAGTGCAACTAATGTGACATTTTATTGTGGCAACGTTTCGCTCTCCAGGAGCTTTATCAAGCCATTACAAACAATACATGGACACAGAGGGTATGTATTGTTTGTAATGGCTTGATAAAGCTCCTGGAGAGCGAAACGTTACCACAATAAAATGTCACATTAGTTGCACTTGTGTCCTTTTACTTTACAACTAAGGTAAAAAACGAGGAACAAGCAAAAGGTAGCAGAGTAAACATTTGCATTCCCTTCACCAAACAGCAAGTAATTGTGTGAACAATATTTACAGAGGATATGTACAGAAAAGCGGATTACATGCATGAGACACGGTGAGAATCGTATTCGACCAAATTTGAAGGTAAGTCAGTCAGTGTTGATTCACGATTATGAGGCTAAGGTCGCAAGGGATTCAAAGACTAACCCAAAAGGGTTCTTTCAGGTATACAGAAGTAAGATTAGGGACAAGACTGGCCCACTTAAGAGTAACTCTGGTCAGATCACTGACAGTGATAAGGATGTGTGTGAAATTCTCAATGCCTACTTCCTCTCAGTTTTCACCCAGGAAAATACTAGCGATATTCCTGAAATAATAGATTATGTAGAACAGAATAATAAACTATGTACGATTGCGGTAACTAGTGACATGGTCCTCAGACAAACAGAGAAACTAAAACCTAACAAATCCCCAGGTCCTGATGAACTGTTTGCAAGAGTGTTAAAGGAATGTAAAGAGGAAATTAGCATACCTTTAGCTAATCTTTTTAACACATCATTACAAACTGGCATAGTGCCTGATAAGTGGAAAATGGCAAATGTAATGCCTATTTACAAGGCAGGTGACAGGTCCTTGGCCTCGAACTATAGACCAATAAGCCTTACCTCCATAGTGGGAAAATTTATGGAATCAATAATTGCCGAAGCAATTCGTAGCCATCTTGACAGGCACAGATTGATTAATGAATCTCAACATGGTTTTACAAAGGGGCATT